ACACGCTGTCCGCACCCACCAGGCCTTAACCATCGCCAAACGGAATACTATAATACTCTCTTTCTCCAGAGGGCGCTGCTTTGCCTGCATAAAAAAATGGCTTCAATTTCCTGCAAAGATGGAGGCGCTTCAGCCACTCTATGTAGAATATTCTAGCTCGTTTGGTGTCAACATGGAGACCTCGTGGTTTGCCCCGCAACGATCTAGATAGAGCCACCGCACACCGCTTACACCGCATAGCGGGGCCACGCGGAGCCACCAGCGTTGAAGGACTCCAAGGGGCTAGCAAGTTTCTGTCTTCGTTTGAAATTAACGGTATCTTAATTATATGAATTTCGCGCGTATTATTGAAAGTACACAAATTCAGTCAATTCTCGACGGTATTGAATATTTATTTATGATATACGTTAGAACACAGAGAGATGAAATAAAAGATACATTTAGAGAATGACAACACGATCGTAATCAATATGAGAAATGAAAAAAACAACCTGTGATAGAAAAATTGGATCATCATGTTCGAAAAGTTCAAATTGTTGGTAAACAGGTTAATTAAACTGAACTGTTAATATGAAAATGAAAAGTAGTACCTTTGCAAAAAGATTTTAAGCATTAATTTCCAATACCCTCTACACCCTCAGAATCATTTGAAAAACAAATAATTGAAACATTTAATACACATTCGCGCCAAAAAAGAATTAGAAACATAGCTAAAATAAAACTGAAAAAACTGAAGTGGCAGAAAAGGAAATTAGTGGTGCTCCAACAACACGTACCTTCTCGCAATACATTTAACGCTAACGTAACATTTACATTGCATCATAATATTTCTGTATTTTCTAGAGAAACGTCCGTCAGCAAAAATGATGTAAGATTTAAATTTGCAATTTTTGATTTTTTGAAGTGTTAATGAAAGTCAGCATTGTACCAAATTTATAAGCCAACTTTGCTATGAAGTAATGACTGTAAAACAGAAATGACTGTAAAACATACTTTTGTATATTTGTGATTTTTATGAACACAAATTCGACAATTAAATGCCTATTATAGTGTTAAAAATTTAAGTTAATGAGCGGCGGCGGCGGCGGCGGTGGCGGCAGTGTCAGCTAGAATACAGCTCAGCCAGCGCGTCTTTGTTGTGTTGCGTTGTTGCCAAGGCGGCGTTGTTAAAGCAATGGGCGATTCGTTTGGCATATATGTTGGAAGAATTTTTGCTTATCAATTCTTGTCAAAAAAACACTCCTTTCCTTCTGTATTCAGAATTCAACTTGTTTATGAGTTAGGGTAGCGATCCAACAATTTAAGAAAACGTGCACAGAATACACTTCTCGTCATAGGCCTACGTCTCACACTGTTTTTAACTGTTAATTAAAAACCATGTCCAAACATGCCTTATGCATGAATTTCTTAAAAAACTACCAAAACACTTATCATGCGCAAAAACTGCATTTTTAAAAGGAGCTTCTAAGAAAGGTATAATTACAAAGTTTGAAAACTCCATGAAGCTTAATAAAAAAGGTTTTTTTCATGGAAATCTTGCCTCGACTCATTACATGAAACATTAGGTACGAAAGTAAGTATTTTAAAGCAAATATTAACACAAATTCGACGATTAAAACGGCGTTTCATACAGATATAACTTGTCCCAACACTGAGAAGGGATTCTCGAAATATTGAACAGCCTCCACACAGTTCACCGCCTCAAACGAAACTTGGGAAATTGGAATTCACCATTTCCATTTTTTTCAATTTTCCATTGTAGAACTCACGTTTCTACAATGTGCCATACTTCATTTGCTGTTCGGGCCGTGGCCCGATTCAGACTTGTCGCGGGATGGTTTAGTAGCTCCATGTGGAGTAGAATGTGGTGGCTGGAAACGAGGCTAAACTTTAATGTGTATTAGTAAGCGCTGATGAAGAAATTAAATATTTTGAAACGTTGGAATAACTAATTTTTTTATCCATATTTAACCATCCCATGAATTAATTTTATACTTTCCAATTGTTGAAAAAACAGAGTGATGTAAAATAGGACCACACCACTTTCTTTACCGTTCTTTGCTACGTAAGTGAAAAAAATTAAAGATAAAATTTGGAGCCCATTCTGAAAAAATAATTGTTTAAAATTTCAAAACTTGCAAGTATCACGCAAAATTACGCAATAAATACTCACATTTTCGAATAATTAAACATGAACTTACTCGAAGATCTGTTTTTAATGAACACATTTCATCAAGAAAAAAATCCACGTACTTAAACTTGCAATTTTCGAAAAATTAGGAATTTCTACAAAAATGTGACCAACTACATTCTTTTAAGCGTCCTTTACACTATTCGCGGTCAAAATGTATTCAGAAGTGTTGGTTTTTAGAAAACATTGGTTAAAAAATTAAAAAAATAGCCTAAATTTTATTCAAAAGTAGGGGAAGAATAGTCAATTTTTCAAAAAATCGAACGTGACTTTATTTCAAGATCTATTTTTAAAGAACAGATTTCATTAAGAAAAAACTCATTTTCAATATTTTAGTCGCCGAAAAAATTGAAATATCGCAATTATACAAAAAATCCGGGATATCAACGAAAATGAGTCTTGCAGCATTCCCTGAAGCGTCCTTTACGTTCTCCGACACAAAATTTAATAAAAAAATGTCCGTGTTTTTTTTAATTTTGAAAATGTCTGAGGAGTTTCATATAAAGTATCCCCACCAAAAAAATATCAGTTTGAAATTGACGGGCTAGAAATATTAATTGCGCATAATATCTCGCAATATTATAATTATAATTGTTATGAAATATTATGTCACAATTTCTACCTTTCTTACACTTCAAATATCACTTGATCTCTTGAGTAAACGAAACGCTATATTTCTAAAATTTTTATTGCACTACCGGTGCCTTTAATAGGTTGAAATTTAATAACGATTTTTAATGAGGTTTCTAGACTTTCAGAAACCTTTCGGTGTATGTTTTAGTATTATAGTTAAAAATAATTGTTAATTGGAATGTGATCCAGTGTCAGAATTCCATTTTCGGTCACTCAAGCTGTCAAAAAACTGTTATTATCTTACGTAAAATATTAATATCAGAAAAATTCTGATTATTGCTATAATTTATATGTTTTTGGAGGTCTTTGGACTTGATTTCATCTCAAGAACTTTACGTCATATTAAAGAGTGCAATTACTACTAATCCTTTGAAATGTTTGAAGAAAAACTTTGGAGCCGTTTTTGAGAAAATGGCGTTTGAGCGCTTCTGAAAATGGGCTAGTTTTCACAGAAAACGGCAGAGTTTTCGAGAAACTTATGTGGCATTATGTAAAGGACATGAACTCTTACATACAATAATGTGAAGGACTTGCCGCTGATATAAATATTAACGACGTAAGAGACATGGAAAAATAATTTTTTGTTATTTTTGAAAAAACAAATTAAGAATATGGATTATATGGAATATGCAATATGGATTTAATGTCACCTTATAGAGTACATTTAGCAATATTCCTGCTAAAAGTTTAAAGGAAACATTTGGAGACGTTTTTCACAAAATCTTGTTTTTGTAATTTTTAAAAATTGCAGATATTACACGCAAACTACTAATTTTTTTAATGTGCAGGACAAAATAAGAAACAAATATTTGGTATTAGGGGACCCCAAAACGTGTATTTCCGTTGAAATCTCGGCGACGTTTTGTACTCAGAAAATGCTTGTATGGAGTAATTTTAAACACGGCAATTGATTTTGTTTTACATATTTTATATTTTTCTTACGTATTTTCGAAAAAATAAATGCATATATTTGTATATATTTTTCTTTTTTTACTTTAATAAATTCCGTTCTCTTGTTATAATTTACGATTCAAACACAATTGTTTGGAACCGCTAATATTTCTTCCGCGTACACATTTCTTATGAAGATGACTCACTTCCGAAGGATTTAACACTTGCGCGGTTTGCGTTGCGTGGAGAATGGAATGACGTGAGAGACTTTACTCTCCAACACACGCGGTCGACTTCTGAGATGACGACGCGGTACTCTCGTTGATAGAGCGTCACAGAAAGATTTTAGAACCCTGTCGTACTCAGAATCGGTTTTTGTTGTCACATATCATTGCTTCCTTTTGGCGCCAACAGGCCCGATGCTGTCGTCACCAGAAGCGTCCACGGCGCATCATCTGTCAGATAGGGGCACGCACACAATTTAGTGACCAAACACGTATGTTGTTCTTCTTGTTAAAAACGGCAGTTTTGCTAAGTTTAAAATGTCAGTGAATGTTCAATGTATGTTTGAGCCTAAAATACGCAAGTTGGTTTGTAAAGCAAGATAAGTTAAAACGCAAATTACGCATCTTAGTTGAAAGATAACTGGGAGGGGTGGCTCAAGGCATCAATTGATGTCACTGCAGTACCTCTGACTGAAAGGTCCTCGGTTTGAGTCCTGACGGTGACAGGTTTTGCGATACATGTTGCAGCTATGTACGTACTAGGACGAATTCAGGCGATGTCTGATGGAGAATTTTAGCGGCTGGCTGCTCTGACCGATAGTTTTCTGTGGTTTCTCAGATCAACACCAAGTGAGTGCCTGAGCAGTACCCCAACAATCGGGTCACTGACTGCGCGATCTTTCCTTCCCTTTCCTTTGTCTTATCCTCTCGCCTTGCACACTTACACTTTCATGCACTTTTCTACCACACGTCGCTTGCGCTTGCTCGAGCTTGCCCGGATGGGGCGTTGCCCGTCGATGGGAGATGACTGGTTGCGGAAAACCCGTTAGTCGACAGGTAGGTCGGCGCCGGATTTCACCTTCGAGCGGGGTGAGATCACCGCCACTCCCGAAGAAAAACATACACTACACTTACGTGAATAATAACCCTAGCCGTTGACGCGCCCGGGATCGCTAACCATCGTACAGCCGCGAGATCGCCGCGTGCACTGGAATAACTTTGAGTTGCGGGGGAGGGCACAGTTGAGAGCTGTGAATGAGAGAAGAGGGTGAAGGTACTACCTTTAAAGACGTAGATCTGCCCGTCCTCGGCTTGGAAGGCGGCGTCGACGGAGGGGTCTTGGCAGAGCTCGGGCGGCGGCGGCGGCGCGGCGGCGCGGGACGCGAGCGCCAGCAGCAGCAGAAGCAGCAGCAGCGCGGGGCGCCCCATGGCAGTGACGGCGGCGCTCGCTCCGGCGGCGTGGGGCGGGCCGGGCGGCGCTTATCGCCTGACCCGGCGCGACCCGACCCGGACCCCGCCGCGCGCGCCGCGTTGCGCGCGTCCGCCTCGCCTCTCCGCCCCGCCTCCCCCTCCCCCGCGGCGCTCACACGACACAGCGCACGCACCCTCACAATGCGCGCTTCGCCAAACTCCTCCTCGGACCAACTGCAGTGCCTCTCACCGGGAGGCCTAGGGTTCCACTCCCGAAGGAGCGGGTTTTCGACACTAGCTAAGCCGCTACTTCGAATTCAACCCGTCGGAAGGGGAATTATGGTAGCTGTCTGCTCTGATAGGTAGCTTTCCGTGGTTTGTGCGTTCAGCACCACATGGCGGAGCAGTACCCTTACAAATGGGCCTTCCTTTTCATTGTCCTGTCGCCACCTATTTACACACTCTTACACTTACATGACACTGCCGACATAGTCGGAAAACCAGTTGGGAACTTAAACCTTGTCCACGCTGGGACGGTGCCACGCTCGTGGAAGATACAAGTAGGGAAAATCCTCGCCAGCCGACGGGTAGATCGACGCCGAGACTATCCATCCAGCGATGGAAAATCGCAGCCCGCGATAAAATATGCACTTACAGGGCACTTGTACCACACTCACCGGACTAATGGCATTAGTAGTTGACTCTCCAGGAATCAATCAACACTGACTTCTCCTCAGAGGCACATCTCAGGAGAAAGGACATCCGATTGTCCTAGAACGATCACGCCCTCTCCACACACGTACACCAAAAATACATATCAGTGTAATTGAATCGCTCAATTCCATAAGGAGACTGACTCAAAAATTTACGGTTTTGAGTTTAGGTGGAATTTGTGATCTTCAGGGGTAGACGGACATTTGAGTGCAACAATGGGCTTCTGGTCAGCTTTCTAAAAGGTTAAACAGACCCGCGCAGTTTTCTTGTTGAGAGGCAAAAGGTACCTCTGTCAGTTACTCGAATACTTTTTGACTCTCAACGGTTGCTCAACCTTATGGGCGTTGTCAATTGTTAATTGAAAATATTAAAATAACTGAGTGCTATCCTTCGTGTGTATTTACTACTAATGTGAATTTTGCTTAGCAGGCTGAAAAGTTTTTGTATTCATTGATAGCCCAAAATATACAAAAAAGCTGTTGCCTCAGAAGAAACAAAAAGACTACCACGTGGAGAAAGAGTGACTTTTATTCTGAACTACAATATCTGGAATACGCAAATATTGAAAAAGTTGTGTAACAGCCAGCGAATACGAGTAAATCAGATTTTGTGAATTTAACACACTGCAAACATTCAACTTCAGAAAAATCTATTGCATTGGGTTAAAATAACAGAAAGAGCATCCACAGGGTAGGGAACCAATAAAGGTCCCAAAACCAGCAGACCTAAGAAAACTACATGACTATGTGCCAAATGAACGACAGAAATTTTTACAACGAAATATTGCAACGGGAAACAACAGAAATCACTGAAGAAAATGAAGATTAAGGCAGATTGTGACAAACTCCAAAACACGAGTAGACAGTGTTTGACAAAATCATACCTTGGATAAAAAAATTTTTTTTTGCATTATTATTATATCTTAAAACAGGACGTATCAAATATCTGGAGTTAAGGGTCAAAAGGAACTACAGACATATTTCGTTTTTAATTAATTAAGACATAGGAGTCTTTTTGTGAGTCCTGTTTTATTTTCCACAGATATACATCTTTTTTTTTAAATTATGGCGAATATTGAAGTGTCTAGAAAGTTGTTTTAATTCAATTCACTGACAAACATAAAATCTGACACAAATCCCTTAAGGAAATCAGCGATTTAATTATTTTATTTTATCAGGCTTGCTTCATCCAAAAATTACATAGGTAGTATACTAGTGACCTGCAACAGAATCAAGACTGTTGAACAAAACTATACAAATGGTTATCCAAAAAGTAGCTCGCGCAATGCTCCAGAACAACAAATAAAATACTCTCCTGTATCACTGCAATAGCTTAACAAAAAACGAATATTGTAATAACATAGTATGCAGAGAGTAAAAGAGTACTTTGCTCACCAAGAGAAATAATCTCTTAGAATGCGCGGCATACCGAAACGTTTTCGACAGTGTCTCTAGTTATTACTCAACAGCTACTCATATTAAACAAAATAAGTGCATAAATTTCATTAAGACGAATATCTTTGGCAAAATGTTGGAAATGTACTAGTTTTAAAACTAATAAAATATTTGAAATTTTCAAAATGTCACATGCTTAAATCGTAACCATACCATTTTCTTACCGTCAAAAAATTGTTGCCGTTTTCCAGAAATGTTTGAAAATGTTGGGTGCTTTATGTAAAGCACACCCCAAATTTAAAAAAAAAACATTAATGATCTCCGGTACGGCATATATGACTCTTGATTCATTTAGTTTCTACTCGAATACTACTAATCTGGTAAAAGTTATGCGTGGCACATATATAGGTCACTCACATTAATGTGTCCACCCGTCAAAATCCTGAATAACTCCCTTTCGCAGCACTGACCACTGTGGGACGTGCTGGAAGAGAGTCATGTTAGGATCTGGATGGAACAGACAGGGTTTGGAGCCGACTCCAGCTGCTCCTCAGTTGCAGATCCACGGTGCGAGAAGCCCGATCGAGATGCGCCCACAGATTCTCCATTGAGTTTCAATCGGGGAGTTTGGTGGCCAGGGGAGTACTGTAAACTAGTCTAGTTCTACCGACAAGTTATATGCGACGTTCCATTTTCCTGCTGGTAGATGCCGTCTTGCTGAGGAAAAACGATCTGCATATAGCGATGGACATTGTTCCCCAACGTATGTTGATTGTGTCTTGATCAA